GTCGGGGCGCGGTCGGGGCCGGACCCTGCGCGTGGTGCGCCTCCCCGCGCGCTCCGCCGGCCCGGGACCGAGCCGCTATATATAGCCGGCGCCCCCTCCTACTCCCGCGGGGGGCAGTTCGCGTTCGCCTGGGCGCCCGGGGCGCTGTGCTGCTCGCGGCGGCTGGTCGCAGGCCGCCTGCCAATCAGGGCTGGGGGAGGGGAGGCGGCCGGGACCAGCCGCCGGTGCCACCTGGAGGGCCCCGGCCCCCACCCTGCCTGCGCTGGGCCCGCGGACCTGTCTGGCCCGCCCCTCCGCGTCGCTCGGGCCTGTCCCATCTCTGACCCTTCCTCCCCTCTGCTGGAGCAGCCTGGTGTCCCCCTGGTGTGCCCGGCGGGCTCCACTCTGCGCTCGCCTCTCAGGGGCTCCAGGGTTCTTTGGTGGGACCCCAGCATCGGCCTGGGAGCCAGGGGGGAGTGAGAGCAGTAAGCAAGGCCAGGGCTGGGGTAAAGGGGGAGGGCACTGAGGAGGCCTGTGCTGCTGAGGGAGTCCAGGGGTGAGGTGCTGAGGCTGCACCCAGGGAAGCCAGCCCCGCACCCCCACGCCCTTGCTAGGGCAGGTGGATGGGCGCAGGCCCGCTGCCTCCCCTGTGATTCCACGGCGGTGCTCCAGTGCAGGGGCCTGCGCCCCAACTTCAGGGGGACCCAGGCCTGCCTCTGGAAGGCTCCCCTCCCCCACCTGCTGTCCCACCCCGCTGCGCCCATTATGGCCTGTGGGGGCGGGGCCCCTCTAGATGCTGGCTCACCTAGGTGTGAAAATCCCTGTTCTCTGCTACCTGAGGAGCCCCGCCTGTCACCTCCCAGCAGGCCCGCCCAGCCACAGCTGCAGGGCGCTGGCCGCCACCCTGCTGCCTCGGCACCTGTGGCCAGACGGCCCTGCCTCCCGCTCCCCGCCTCCCACCCACTCCAGTCTGGGCGCCCTGGGGAGACCTCTGAGCCCTGCCGGGCTGACTGGACCACAGAAGGGGCCTGGAAGACCCCTGGGCCGGGCACCGCCTGCGGCCCCAGAGGCGAGCTGGGGGTCTGTGAGCGGCCTGGGCAGGACAGCCAGCGGCCTGCTCGCCGGCGGCTCAGGGGAAGGCGGCCCACAGCTGGTACCAAGAAGACCGCCGGCCAGGCCACAGGAGACCGTCCCCCGGCCAGCGTGGCCGCGAGCGACAGGTCTCAGTGTCAGCCCTGACTCCCCATCTGCAAACAGCACCGAGTGGCTCCCGCTTCCAGGCCAGGCCCCTCCGGAGGCGCCCGCCCTCTGTTATCTTCCCCAGTTCCTGGCAGGGTGTGGCTGCTCTTTTCCCAGGAACCCCCCAGGGGCTTCCATTTGGGGCTCCCCTGGGACCCTTTCCTGCACCTCCCATTTGCGCAAGTTCAGGGGAGGACCCGGCCCACCTGCCAGCCTCCCAGGCCCTCTGCAGGTGCTCAGGCCCTGCCGTCTGCTGGCCACGCTCCCCGTGGGTCCAAGCCCCATGCCCGCCCCCGCCCGCCTCGGCCTCCTCAGCTGTCCGGAAGCGCCAGCCAGACCAAGCAGCGGCCCTCGGGGTCATCGGCGTCTGGCCTGTCTCGGGGGACCCTCGCCCACCTGCTCCTGGCCCCCGTGCGCTCCCCATCTCCTCAGGCTTCTCTCTGAAGATGTCCCCGCCGACATCTCTGTCCGCGGGCCTCCCCAGCCAGCTCTCCCCTCAAATCTCAGCCACAGGGGAGACTCTGTGGCCCCGGCACCCCTCTGGCGCCACACCTGGCGCTCGGGATGCTGCAGCTGGTTGGCACCTGCCGGCGCTCCCAGCTCACGGCAGGGCTTCCAGCC